TTCCTTCCTTCCTTCCTTCTTTCATTTCTTCCTTCCTTCCTCCCTCCCTCCCTTCCTCCCTTCCTTCCTTTCTCTCTTTCTCTTTTCCTTTTCTCTATTCCACACATCTGTTCAGCCACTTCTCCTAGAGAGCTAATCTATGGCTGGACAAGGTAAACTTTGCATATTTGGAGCAAAGGGAGTTATTTCAGATCGATCCTACCTTTTTCAGTGGGGCTTACAACTGTAGTGCTCACCTTCATGTGGATCCAACAGATTGGGACCTTCTTTGGGGTGTATGATGGTGGAGGCTGGCCTCATCTCTGGTCACCAGGAAAGTGTGAGGAACAAGAAAAAATTGCACTTTTGTATCTGTGAACCACAGGTAGGTTTCTACAATATGTATATGTGTTCTTGTCTCTGAAGCCACCAACAAACACTGAAAATGTCTGCAGCAAGTCTGGTCAGCCACCATTACTCTGCAGTCACTTCTTTTGCTTCATCTTCTCAGCTCTCTCTCCTGGTAAGCATTCAATCCACTTCTCTATCCCTTCATCTGAAGTTCAGTTTTGGACCCTCCTCTATATCTGTCCCATTTGATTTTCCACACCTTTGTTGTAGAGGGTCTGTACAATCTTTCTGCCTAGTCTGCCGTCTTGCCCCAGACGACACTGTCTTCTTTTTTTTTGCCATGTATGTTCAATTTGTTTCTCTTTGTAAGCATTCAGTCAACTTCTCTATCCTTTCATCTGTAGCTCAGTGTCCTAGAACTATCATCTGCATCAGTCTCATTTGGTTTTTGGTATCTTTGTTATAGAGGGTCTGTGTAGTGTTTCTGCCTAGTCCACCACTTTGCAGGATGTCTCTTGACTAAGAGTTTGTTGAACAATTTTGTACCTATTTTCATGAAGGATATTGGTCTATAATTTTCATTTTTAGTGCAGTCTTTGCAAGGTTTGGGTGTCAGGGCTATGCTTACTTCATAGAATGAATTTGAGTGTATTCCATACTTTTTTATATTTTGGGATACTTTGAGTAAAATTGGTGTACACTTTTCTTTGAAAATTTGGTAGAATCCTCCAGTAAAGTCATGTAGGCTAGAATTTTTATTTATTTATTTAATTCGGACATTTTTTGTGACTTGTTCAGCTTCTTCTTTTGTTATAGCTTTGTTCAGATTATTAGTCTTGTCCTGTTAGCTTAAATAGATCACATGATTCTAAAATTTTCTCCATTTTTTCTACAGTTTCTGATTTGTTGGAGTACAATATCTCATAGTTATTTTTCTTTTTATTTTACTTAGTTCTTTTGTGACAATGTCCACTTCATTCCCTATTATTTGTGTCATTTATTTTTTTTTTCTTTAGTTAAAATTGCCAGTGGTGTGTCAATTTGTAAATCGTTTCATAATACCATCTTATAGTCTTGTTTATTGCTTCTATCATTTTCCTATTTCATTTAGTTCTCCTATAATTTTTATTTTTACCTTTATTCTGGAGATTGTAGGCTTTTTTTGTGTGTGACTCTTTTTCTAATTTTTCAAGTTACTGGGTTAAGATACTGATTTTTATCCTTTCTTCCTATATGATGTGCCTGTTTATTGCTATAGATAGCTTATTGAGCAATTCTTTTGCAGTGCATCAAAGGTTTTGGTATGCTGTGTTTTCATTCTTGTATACTTCTTGGAATTTTTAATTCAATAAGCTAAGGATGTCTCAGGAGGGAGAAGAGAAAAATCACAAAAAGAAGAAGGAAACTAATATAGGAATAATGGGGAACAGACATAGCACTGCTGAAATACACCTACTACTGACTTTTGTGGAAACCTAGAGGTTGGGAAATTTTTTCTGGCCCAGTCCAACTGGAAGTTCCTTGTTATCTTTCTTAGGTGAAGTGGTCACTTACCAGTGGAACATACCAGAAAGATCTGGCCCTGGACCCAATGACTCTGCTTGTGTCTCTTGGATCTATTATTCTACAGTGAACCCCATAAAGGTAAAGACAAAATGGGATGGCTGGAAGCTAGTGTCAGAGGTAGGAAAATTGTCAGACATGAAGAAACTATTAAATATAAATAAAAATTAATCTAGCCTAGAGCTACAGCCAAGGATTTGGGGCAAATTTCTCAAATGATGGGTTTATGTGAATAATCAGGAAGATGTGATGAAGAGTGTAGTTAGTTCCAGATATTTCTGTCCTGAAGATTTTCTCCTTTATTTATTCTTGTCTCCCCTTAAACAATATATTCTCATCTAAAATAAATCAAATTGACTGTCTGAAAGTTTGGGTATCAATTTGCTTGTAGCTCACTTTGTAAATGACTTCAGACAAGTCACTGCCTCATATTTCTTATCTGAAAATACGTTATCCATCTAGCCATCCACCCACTACAGTCAACCAGCAATCATTTAATAAGTGCCTACTACATTTTAGTGGATTCCTTGGGTGACACTGTTAGATACACACTGCGGTGCTAACTGCAAGGTCATCAGTTCACACAGTCACCAGCTGGGTCTTGAAAACCCTATACATGGTCACTATGAGTTGAAACTGATATGATGACACTTAATAGCAACACATTTTAGGAGTGCTCATGGCACTGTAGAGAAGCATTGGACTGCTTACCACAAGATCAGCAGTTCAAACCCATTAGTCACTACGTGGGAGAAAGTTAGAGGCTTTCTGTTCCTGTAAAGGTTTACATCTCAGAAACCTTATACTGGGAAGCTATGAGCTGGAACCAACTTGACAGCTCCTAGCAATAACAATGACAACATCTTGGGCATTTTACTTGGTGTTGGGGAATGATAATAAAAGATGCAGTTCCCACCTTCTAGTTGTGGAAGACAAAGAGTATAGAGGTTCACTGGGAGAGTTCTTAGAGGAGATTAGAATGGGAAGATGGAAGAGACTTCACAATGTAAGGTACATATACTCTGGGTCTTGAAAGATAAATAGCAGTATGACAAGCAGATAAGGGATATGGTATTACAAGCAAGGAAACACCGTAGAAAAGATACTGGTTATGAAAGTGTTTGGTGTGTTTGGAGATCAATGAGTAGTCTAGCCTAACTAAAGCATTGTTGTTGTTGTTGTTGTTGTTGAGTACTGTGGAGTCGGTTCTGACTCATAGTGACCCTGCACAGGGTTTCAGAGGCTGTAAATCTATACGGGAGCAGAACGCCTCATCTTTCTCCTGCAGAACCACTGGTAGTTTCAAACTGCCGACCTTGAGGTTAGCAGCCTGATTTGTAACCACTACGCTACCAGAGCTCTTGCTAGATAATCTATTTTACTTCTGTCTCAAGACAGTTGTGAGAATTAATTCAGATTACATAATAGAAGGATTGAGCATCCCAGAGTGGTGCAAATGGTTGATGCACTAACCAAGAATTTAGTCGACGAAGATCAAGCACTACTCAGGAGGAGGGAAAAAAAAAATGTCTGGTTATCTACTGCTTAAAAATCTAAATTTAAAACCTTATTCATCACAGTTCTACTATGACAGAGGAGTTGCATGCAATAAACTCTACTACAACTGGTTTAGGGAGTAAATGTGCTTATAAATATAAGATATTATGAAAAGGTTCTGAGGGGCTCAGTGGGCTTAGATGTGAGCTTGCCTCTCTACAGAGCACTACTGTTACAAAAAGTGCTAATCACACCTCCACTCTGAATAAGAGGGGTCTTGCTTCTACTAATTAAGAATTGTCAGAAAAGGCAGGGTTTTCACACTAGCAAAGGTTTATAAATGAAAAGACCTTGCAAGTGGAGTTGGGGAGGGCTTAATGCAATTCTTAACCCCTGACTCCCTGAACAAAGCCTTTGCTGGAGTTTACAAAAGTTTTACAGGAAAAGTCATCATGTTTATTCACTGAGAGGCAGGATGTCTGAGAAGCGACCTGTTTCGGAGGGGCCATGCTAATAGGGTGCATGAGCAGCATTTCTTCAAGATGGACTCCACCTCAAAGGCTTCCTGTAGGGGAAAACAAAACTTATTCTGGGATGTCACACATGTGCAGTTCTTCAGGGATGTAGTCTGAACTCCTTCAAAGGATCTGGTGGTCTTCTCTGACTACCCCTTCAAGGTGTAGACATGCATAGAAAAATGGTCAAAAAACAGTCAGCCGTTTTTATAATCGTGTGTCTCAGAATCTGAGTTAATCTATAGAAATTTGTTTGGAGTAAACAGATTGTAAAATAGGCTAGGTCTGTGATTAATGCTTTCATGTTCAAAGAAGTCCCCTAGGCCCCCTATCTTACTATCAGCCAGAAGACAACCACATCTTTTTCTCTCTACCTTCCTCTCTTCTTCAGGACTTATACAGTGGCCTGGTAGGACCACTGGCTATCTGTCGAAGGGGTATCCTAGGGCCACATGGAAGACGAAGTGACATGGACAGAGAGTTTTCCTTGTTGTTCTTGATTTTTGATGAGAACCAGTCATGGTATCTGGAGGAAAATGTGGCAACCCATGGATCCCAGGAGCCAGGCCATGTAAACCTACAGGATGAGACTTTCTTGGAAAGCAATAAAATGCATGGTCAGTATACAAGGACTTACCCTTCTCCCAAAGACGTTTCCACTAGTTGACTGGGGGAGTATCTGATAGATCCACCATAGTCTTAGGGAGCACAACTTCCAGAGAGGACCAGAAGGTGGAAAGGTTGAATGACAGTGAACTAGCACTCCAATATATTTATTCTCCTTTCAGGTTACAGTAGAGAAGGGCCCCAAAAGACCCCAGAATTCATTAATCATTCAGCAGAAGGCTGGTTGTCTCCTGAAAAGTACATGTCTAGCTCTGATAGCTTAGCGGTTACGAATCAGGCTGTGAGCCACAAGGTCAGCAGTTGGAAACTACCAGCTGTTCCGCTGGAGAAAGATGAGGTGTTCTGTTCCTGTAAAGATTTACAGTCTCGAAAACCCTGTACGGGATCGTTATGAGTCGGAACCAACTCCACAGCACACAGCCACCACCACCATCATATCTGGCTGAGGCAAGCATCCCAGTTCCTGGGGTCTCATTTCTGTGAAAAGTTCCATCCATTAAAGTCTGTATGAAGTCTCATCTTTTGGAAGAAGTGCCTTCTACTATTGCACATATAAATACAGAGATCAAATATGGCCTTAAAGAAGGAAGATGATTCTGTAAAATTGCTTTGGTGGTACCAGCATAGTTTAGCATAATATTGAAAACAAGATAGACATTTTTTGAGCCTTAATATATTTGGTGGTCTGGCTACTTAGGGCCCCACTATTTCAATCCTGAGTTTAGTCTTCATTATCAGCATATTTCTTCACCATTCTGGATCTAAGATCTGCTTTTTCAGGGGACCCAATCCTTATTTTTTGGTCCCTGGTGTGGTGCTGTGGGTTAACATAACAGACTGCAAAGCCATTTGAACTGCAGGGTTGGTGGCTCAAGCTCACCAGCCACTCCTCGGAAACCCTATCCAGGGTCCTTTTGGGTCAGAACCAACTCAGTGTCACTTAACAAGAACAACAATCCTTATTTTGGTCTGTATTTAGGATAAAGGTATAATTTACATAAAATAATTAAAGGAGAGAGTCTCAGACTATAGCATAATGTGTTTATATTGGATACAAGGAAGGATTGTGTTGTGCTTTAGTGGATTTTGGATTCCTTCAACAGTGTTTCCAAGCCTTCCTTTGTTCTGGAGATCTGTGTAGCTTATCAAATGCAAAATAAAGCTTCAAATATGAGGGAAAGCTTAAGTACAATGGAATGTATGAATTGGTTTTTCACCATCCCTTCTGGTGGTTGTGGTTATGTATCGTAGAGTCAATTCCAACTCATAGTAACCCTGTGTAGGGTTTCTGAGGCTATAAAACTTTACTGGAGTCATCGAGACACTCATCTTTTCCTTGTGGAACCACTAGTAGTTTCGAACAGCTGTCCATGAGATTAGCAGAAAACTTGTAACCATTATGCTACCAGAGCTGCTTTCTAGTCCAAGATTTTTTTTTGGTCTGAGAATGAAGTGTAACTCTGGTAGTGCTTCCAATAGAACTCAAAAGTGGTTTCTAATTTTCCCACAGATTTTAGCTACTTCTCCATGGTAAAGAGATGGGCTATTAACATTAGAACAGATGTTTCACAAACTTTTAGCTTCTGTCAAATCAGAAACATAAATGACTCAAGAAAAATAGGGAAATAGAATATAGTTAGATACTGCTAATGACTACTTCCATCTGTTTGTTAATGTGTCCATCTATCCAAACTCTTCAGGTATCAGTTCATCTACCTATCCATCTATCAGGTATCAAAACATTCTGAACACTGGAGCTGCAGATTAAAAGATAAATACTGTCAAAGTCTGAGTGGTGGGCAAATAAATAATATCTTTCTTTTCTTTTGCAGAGTTCTCAAATAACTGAGAAAAAGACAGAAATGCTTAAGAACAAATGATAGCTTTGTTACTGAGAAGGTTAATTGGAAAACTGAAGTTGATTCTGCTAAATGGGCGTTCTGATACAACTTCTGCAATAGTTAGGTTTTCCCACCCTGATACTGACATAGATGGACAACAAAAGGTCTCCCCTTTTGCAGGGACAGAATCTTTCCTAAAATGGAAAAGTCAACCAGTGTGCATCTGGGAGAGAAAAACTCTAGAAGGGACAGAGTTGAACATGTTTAGTTTTTCATCTCTCAAATTTGTGAGTTGGTGGGATTAGATACAGAGAGAGGCAAGAAATGTTACTTTATTATATCTCCTCTTGGAAAGTAGAGTGGGAAATACTTGTATAAGAACATGATGAATGGGTAGAGTACACTGGGAAAAGGCACATGGCAATGAGTAGTTTGGTGTTTTAAATAATAATATGTGGCCTGGAAAGCAGCAGATGATGATGCCTATATGTTAATATCATTATGAGTTCCAAGAATACAGAAAATGTTTTTCCAATATTTGTTTTAGTCTTAGGTATTCTTAAGAATCAAGGAAACTATAGTATTGTAATATATATGTTCTTTGCTGCTTACTAGGAACCTATAGTCTTGTTGATGGTGTGAGGTTCTACACAACGAAAGATAACTAAAGATAAAAAGCAATTTCTGGTAAATTCCAAAAGTGGTACAGCCCAAAACTTCAGAGGTGGAAGAGGGTGAAGAGAATGAGAGGTATTGAGAGGAGCTAGATGATTAGGAAATCAATCTTGAATAATGTGAAGGTTTGACTAGGCTTTGAAAACATAGGAAAAGACAGGTTTTCTGGGAGGGAAACTCACAAATATGACTATGGACATAAATAACATGCGTGGGCCTGGTTAAAGATCACCCTGATTCAAGTAAATGTGTTGGGTAGTAGGAGATGAGTATGGAAAGGTAGTTTGGAGCTATATTTTGAATGACCTAGTTAACTAAGCTAAGGAGCCTGACTTTTTAGGTTGTTGTTGTTATTAGGCACCATCGAGTCAGTACCAACTCATAGAGACCCAGGCACAACAGAACGAAACACTGCCTGATCCTAGGCCAACCTCATTATTGTTGCTACGTTTAAGCCCATTGATGCTGCCACTTTGCCAATCCATCTTCCTGGGGTCTTCCTCTTTTTCTCTGGTGTGGAGTCCTGGTGTGGCAGGAGTCCTGGTGTGGCACTGTGGGTTAATGTGCTAGGTATCAAAGTCGATTTGAACTATAAGGTTGGTGGTTCAAACTCACCAGCCACTCCTTGGAAACCCTATACAGGGTGGCTATGGGTCAGAACTGACTCTACGGCATTAACAACAACATATGGACACAAGACCTTTGGGGTAGGAAGGAGCTATTAAAGTATTTTAAGCAACAGAGTAACTTGAACAGATTAGTTGTTTAGGAAGACAACTTGATAACACCATTTATCATTGGTATTAAAATTGATTAGAAGGGGTCAGGCAAATGAGACCACTTGTTATGTTTTGTTAAGTGCCGTTGAGTCGATTCTGACCCCTAGTGACCCTGTATAGTGTTTCCGAGGAGGAGGCCACTATTATGAGAGATCTAGGACAATAACAATAGGGAATCAAAAGGAGAGACTTATGAAATTTTTTTCTTTTTCTTTCTCTTTCTTTTTTTCCCCACAGCCATAAATGGGAAGCTTTATGCCAACCTCAAAGGTCTTACCATGTATCAAGGAGAACAAGTGGTCTGGTATATGCTGGCCATGGGCCAAGATATTGATCTACACACTGTTCATTTTCATGCAGAAAGCTTCCTCTATCAGGTGAGCTGAGAGAGGGCTGACTTCCTCAGAGTTGATTGTTGTTTTTAAGTGCCATTGAGTCAGTTCCAACTCATAGTGACCCTGTATAGATTGGGTTTCCAAGGAGCAGTTGATGAGTTTGAACTGCCAACCTTGCAGTTCAAATGACCTTGTGGTTCAGTGCTTATCCTACAGCACCACACTAAGACACAGAATTGATTAGAGAAGAGTATCATCAGTAAGGAGGAAATTAATAGCAAGGAATGGTGTGACAAATATTTCAAAGAGCAGGTCTGTTGTTGTTAAGTGCCACCTAGATTTTTCTGGTGTTCTGGTGTGGCACTGTGGGTTAATGTGCTGGACTGAAAAGTCACTTTGAACTGCAAGTATAGATGTTTAAGCTCACCAGCCACTGCTTGAAAACCCTAGACAGGGTTGCTATGAATCAGAGCCGACTAAATGGCACTTAACAACAGTCTGCTCTGGCTCATAGCCACCCTGTACAGGGTTTCCAGGGAGCAGCTGGTAGGTTTAAATTGCTAACAGCGTGGTTAGCAGTCCAGTGCTTATGCTATAGCACAACACCAGGATTCCAAACAGGTATGGTGATGGTGGTGTGGTTATGTTGCGTGGAGTTGGTTCCGCCTCATAGTGACCCTGTATAGGGTTTCCAAGGCTGGAAATCTTTGTGGGAGCAGAAAGCCTCATCTTTCTCCCAGGGAGTGATTAGAAAATTCAAACTGCTAATCTTTTGGTTAACAGCTCATCTCATATAGTACACGAAGATCTGAGTTGTGGATTCTAGTCTGACTGTATGTCTGTGCATCAGTTATTTTCCATTAGACATTAGCTATCACTTAAGTTAATGGAAACAAAGAATGACAGGTTTATGTTGTAGAGAATTTTAAGGAATCATTGTAATCATGATTCCTTATATAATTATGAAAATTAAGTTTTTAGACTTAGTGAGCAGTTATCTCAAGAGCAAAGAATTTATGAGTGGCATCTCAGAATCTCCCAAAGTCCTTAATCCATTATAAAAAGAACTTCAGTTCAGAAACTACATAGAACAAAATGTAGATTTTTAAAGAAGAGAATTTAGTTTTAGGAAAAGGGGGTAGATTGGAGGCATCTATGTAATCTTAGAAATCTTAGAAATCTAAAAGTCCTGACAAAGGTGATGGGAAGGAAGAGAAAGAAAGTTCAGTCCATTTCTTTAGGAAATACTATGTGTCTCCTTCTAACAGATCAAGGCAAATTATTTGATTTTAACCTGTTGGGGAAATTAGAGGTATTAGTTTTGTTGTTTTTTTTTAATAGTATTCATACTTTTTTTTTCTTTTATTGTGAATTATATGATAGTTTCATGAGAGAACTTTAGTTTTACATTCATTCCATCGTATATCATCTCATTGCCATGGTTCCAATCCCCTCCATGCATCATCAAACACCCAAAGGGTATATC